CCTAATCATGTAGTCATAAGACAATAAGGGTTTGAACAAGATTTAAAAATTATTATTTATATTAAAACAATATTTGAATCTAATTTAATAATTTTTATTCTATTTTCTTAATCAATATTTTAATTGGTTATAAATCTTTGTAGTCTTGTAGTCAATTAGATTTTCTTAAAATACAACTTAATATATAAACTTGATGAGTAGTATTTCGAGCCAAAACGAGCCGAGCACGAATGAACCTATCTTAGTTCGTGTTCGGGTCGTTAACTTATCGAACGAAATTAACGAGCCGAACACGAGCTGTTCGCGAACAACGAGTCGTTTTGACAGCCCTAATTGTGAACATAGATCTATCCAATCTGAGGTTCGAAATTGATTTTTATACTTTTTAAATAATTTCAATTACATATTTATAAATCTAAACCAAACTTTTTGGGCTTTCCTAGGAGTTTGAATGTTGAGTAGTGTGTATGTTGAGTATATAAAAATATATATATATATATATATATATATATATATTGGGGGGACTCTTAAGTAAGAGTAATAACAATAAATTATATATTTAAGTGAAAAGTATAAATGCATGGATTAAGATCTAGTGAAACTTACCTATGTAATTTCAATAAATTTTAGGATTTTGACAAATTTTGAAATTTACAAAAGCACAATATTGTTTACAGAATTTAATGAAATTATTATAATTTAGAATTACATAAACTTACATATGCAACTTAAAACAGATTTTCATCTTTTAGCGCAAACTCGATGCGTGACATGAATTTCGAGATAATTCTTTGAGCAAAGAACATTTAGACTTCAATTAAAAATCATCGAGAACTCTAGATTCAACAAACTTATCGTGAAATTGATTGGCTCCACGAGACACATAATAACACTAAAATTGATCCAATGAGCCAAATCAAAGCCCATATTGAGTTATTAAGGAGGGAGTGGTTTGAATTGCTTTGTTATTTGCAGGGAGACCTTCTTTTAACTCTATATATAGAGTCATTTCCCCATCATGAAAGGGGGTTAGCCCTTGAAGTAGAGAAAGATCAGAGTTTGGAAGAGGAGCTAAAGTCCAATGTTCTACACCGAATGTCCAAATCGAACGAATGATGTCAGCTCCTGTAGCCACCGACCATCGCCGATCATTGTTGGCCACCCCTGCTTGACGCAATGAAACTGCTTGTGGAATCAACACTTGCACATAGGAATCCTGACATACGATCCAAAGTAACAAAACACAAAACAAGGAAGCGCTTTCCCCAAAAATGTTGTACCGACGCGCCCCGGAAGACGATGCATCAACACACCCCAAAAATAACAAAACAACACACCCTATATACAATAACTTTCCCCAAAGTCCAAATGTTTTCTCCATACAACTCGCAACTACGCCTTGCAACCTACGTGTTGCAACCTACTTGATTCACCACAATTGCAATTTGTTACCACATCAATAATAGCCAACTGATGCTATCATGACTCCTCGCTAAGTCTATGTGATCAACTGTAGCCTACGTAGCTAACAACTCACATACTGGTTCACTGAAGTTATTTCAGCTCCAAACTTTGGTTTTTGCGGCCTATGGACTACATCATAGCTCTCGCTAAGAACAATGCGGTCCACAAATCGTGTAGATTTTTACTCTGATCCCGCTTTCTACGAATGTCATTACAGCTCGTTGCTATGGGTTGCATGGCTCACAGGTCGCGCAACTCTCAATTTTGTCCTCTATGCATTGTTCATTACAATGACATATGTGACCAACTAGGAACAACATGACTCATAGTTTGTGCAACTCTCGACTTTAGCCTTTGCGGTTTACTAACATTATTGTAGCTCATCGCTATGACCAATTATGACCTACATGCAACACAATTTGTGCAACTCTGGGCTTCGCTCTTTGTGGCCTACGAATATCATCATAGCTCACCACTAAAATCATTATGAACTCTGGTCTTTGTGGCCTATAAACATCAGTGCAGCTCATCATTACAGTATATGTGACTAACTACAATCTCTACGACAAGTTAGCATTGCAACTATTGTCTACAATATTCACGATAGGCTACTGCATTCATAACAACCAGTTATGATTTTTGTGTTGTATACCTCCATCTTCTCTAATTTTGGAGAAAAGTAGATCTGTATACTCATAATTACATAGTGAATTATTTATATTAGGTTAAGACTCATTATTATTATTAATTTTTGAGAGTTTTCCATATAAAAAATCGAGGTGTCTCCTCTGATATACTTCTCTTTTATCTGTGTATGTGTTGGATCTTCGTCTAATGCTAACTTATACTCTACTACCACAAATCATCTGGCACACAATATTTAGCATGATTAGTTCTCTTAAAATTTATAAAATCTAGATTATAAATACAACTTAGAAGCCAACTAACCACTTAGAATTTATTAAATCATGATTTGCAAAATTCACGATTTCTCTCTCCAGTTAAATCCTTCCTGTGGTTGAACATGGTCTAATTATTAGGTGTGGTGAGCGCACGCAGATCCGCACGCAATAATCGCTCATGAACATGCCCTTAAATCGCTGCACTATATTTTTGACTTGCGTCTGTAATTGCGCCTAAATTTTAGCATTTCCACAAAAGTTAATGATGGATATAACCAAATTTCCCAAAAATACAAAATATTAAACATGCTAAATATTTTAGTAGAATTTATAAAGATAAAAAAAATTAAGATGCCAAAAAATTTTCAGATTTTCACTTCTCTAAGATTTTATTAATTTAATTAAAGCTCTAACGAATGATCAATTTAAGCCCCTATTAAAAGCTTGATGTTTGAGAAGCAAATGAGTTGGCTAAATAAAGCATGGCTCAAATCCATTAAAATCTTATTTTTTTAAGCTTCATAAATTTAGCTTTTAAAACTCTCTTATTCTTTCGAATGAGCCAATAATTTTTAGCTTTATGAATCATCTTAGGAATAACTGAGCTTAAATTGAAGCTGGAACTAGCTTCTAATTGTTAGCTTCAACGCAATCAAAAAAATTCATATGGAACTTTCCGTGCCGTCTCTTGTGCAGCTGGACATGATCTGTATGCAATGCTCAATTAATCAAATGTCAAGTCTCTAGTAAATCCAATAATATCGTGGAAGTTCAACAGAAAAGGGCAAAGAGATACGATTAAAAAAGACGCACAGGCGAAAGAGCAAACTCCAACAGACCAGCGAAAGAACAATATGTGTATCTGACCTGCAACCCCACTGATTCGGGCTTAAACTTTAGAGGCCGGATGAATGCATTGCATCCGAACTAAGAGCAAAGACAAAGGCCAATCTAGCAGAACACAAGCATCAGCTGGCCTCTCGCCACAATCTGACTCAGGGAATGATTCAACATCGCGATCCATCTCACATACTCCCATGAGATTCCTTATTAACTATGAATACGAAAAAGACATCATAAGAGCTTATAACTCTCCTATTAAAGGAGTGACAATAAAGACTTGTAACTAGACTATTAAAAACAAAGACAATAAAGACATGTAAACTTACTACTAAAGCACCGGCAATAAAGATCTTTAACTCCCTTTTAAATAAGGGTAATAAAAATCCATAACTCTTCCATTAAAATAGAGGTAAAAATGTATTTTTAAACACAATCATTCTTTTTCTTATAAATAGAGAGCACATTACATAAAAAAAAGGGTTTTTTCCTTCTCAACTTTTCTCATATAACAAGAACCCTCTCATTCACGTTAACTTTTATATATAAAATGGGTCAAACAGCTTGAGATATTTCAATTCACCACTCCCCTGCCAAGTACTATTTTATTTCTTTCTCTCCTTTTGTTTCTCCTATTATTCATACCGCACCACTTCTTATGCATGGGTCAAAAAATTTAAATTCCACAATAGTGCATCCAGAAGTACTTCTCTTTTTCTCCGGCTTTGATAAATAGATTTAACATGATCCGTAGAATCTCAAGACTACAGATGCAAAAGTTCATCGTGGCCGGAAAAATATAAAGTCCCCTCAAAATGCTCCAATCCCATATTTTGAGAAAGGAAATAAATAAATCCAAAAAACAAGCACAAATTTTAAAAGAGAAAAAACTTGGAATAAAAACAGAGCAATTATATACAAATTGAACGACCAGAACTAGCCGTTGAAGCCTCACAACACTCAGGCCTCCTCTTCAAACACAGAGTAAGAAGAAATTTCAGATCTCAGATTTTAGAACAAGGTTTAATCACAACCCCGTCGCCGTCGGCGGCGGAGGCGGCGGTGGCGTGGCAGCTCTTTTCCATAAGCGAGACGAGGTGGTCCATCAGCTCCTCCTCACAGGGAACGCGCAGTGGGCCGCAAGACCCATATCCAAACTCCTCTTTTGCAACCTCCAGCAGAACGCGAAAGATTGGGTGTTGTAAATACTTGAGCGGCACAAGGAATCGCTTTCCCCCTTTGGCGTAGAAGACGAAATGACCTTTGCTCCTCTTTCTTCTTCCTTCCTTCGAAGCCAGCCATCGCCATTTGCTCGCTAGTAGCTCGCCAAGCTTGTACGAGTTCGAGCTCATAGGTGCCTTACGAAGGAGAAAGGAGGAGTTTTGGGGGAGATGATAGGGGGAGAGGGATGTGGACGAGCGATTGAGGGCGACCATATCTGCGCTGGCGAGGAGAGTCATGTGACTATCTTGAGCTTCCCACTGTATTCATGTAATTAACTCGGCTTATCTTTATGGGACTCAACGAAAAGGACGGTTTGTCTTTTTCCTTGCTTAAAGTGCTGGTGGGATGTTGTCAATAAAAATGTGAAAATGATGGGAGACTGTTGATCGTTAAAAATTTTAATTTTATTAATTATTAAAATTTTGGAGTAGTTATATGTTTATACCGCCCAATTCTTATGATATTTATATATCTAAAATTTAAATTTTATTTTTTTTCTGTACCATATAAGTCACCACTCTAATTAATTTTCTCTATCTCAAATGAATCTTGAAGCATTATACAGATATCAAAGCGATTTTTAGAGATACAGATATCAAAGCGTTTTTTAGAGCAAAAAATATTCAAATTTTCATAAAAAATGAGTCTAAACTCTAATTTCATCAAACTTACAGTCAAACTGACCGGCTTGACGAAAAGAACTCAATGTTACCAAAAGTTGTCTAATCTGAATTAAATCAAGCCTCAATCAAGTGTTAAACCATATTTGTAACTTTTGCAAACACATTTGAAATGTCAAACATATGTTAAATCTAATGAGTTCATAGGCAAACGTCTCAACAAGGCAAATCCAACAAGCTTAAAATTACTCAATTCCGTCATTGTGAAGGTACTCAAATTTGCACCAAATGTTGTATGATCAAAAAAAGTATTTTAGACCGTCCAATCAAAGTGATTTTTGTTCCAGCATTAATTGCACCCAGAACTCTAAAAATAGAGTCTCGCCCCTCAAATGAAGGAGAGAAGAGTTTGTTGTTTAAGAAAGAGCTTGAAACTTCGAGAATGAGCTGAAGTCTAGTACTACTTCTGCTACTGTCGATCACCACTGACTGTCGTCGATCAGCGCAAACCACTATAGAGCACCTCGGACCATCGTCAACCACCGTCTTCAACAATCGATCAAAACCTATCGTCGCTGACCACCACCCGTTGGTCGTCACCAATCGCTATCAATCACCGTTCGTTCCTTGCAACAAATTCATCACCACGTCGACGTTGTAACTTGGGAGACCTAATAACATTTTCCCGCCTTTGAGACAAGTGGTTACAATTGTAATTAGCTTTTTATAGTGTAACTCTCCAGCTGAACCAAATCCAGTGGTTTTTTCCTTTATGGATTTTCCACTTAAAATTTTTTGTGACATTACTAGTTATATTATTTCTTCTAGGTCTGTATTGAATCTTCGTACCACATTAAGACAATAATTTGCTACTCTCATACCACAAATTTTTTTGGTATGCATTAATTTTGGCTCCATATATGGGAACAAAAATCCCACCACCGAAGTACTAGTGTGGTTTAATACATGGCCTCCAGACTCAATATTCGTCATAACGGAGCATCCCACCTCAACACTCATCGTTACAAGGGGCAATCACGAAACCAATGACGACATGCCTCTTCATCTTACCGCCCTGAAAGATGTTTTCCTTCCAATGAAGGTGTCTTAGGTCCTTCTTTAGAAGACAGAATGAGCAGAATAGATGAGTCACAACTAGAGATCTTACAACTCCTATGCGGACCTTAACAACCGCTGCACATGTTGTTGAATGAAGTTCGTTTACCACTAATTCAGTGGCCAACGGGAAAGGTGCCACATAAAAATACTTGTACTGGCCCCCTGCACATGGGGAACATATCCTTTCTCAGAACTATACTACCAATTACACTCATCCCTTTCGCGCAGCTCACCCGGTACCATCCAACCTTACTGTCGATCCTGACAATGTCATCCTCGACGAGCTACGGCGTCTGATCCTGGAAGAGTTCCCTTTGGAGAACAAGGATCATTTCTCTGCTTACCGCAAATTCCAAGAATCCTTGCTCTTAGCAGAGGTGGTTCTCCAACATCTTACCCCAGCGGGTCTCAAGCTCCCGAACATTGGCACCTACAAAGGGGTAACTAACCCTACGAGCATGATAAACACTACCAAACCATCTTGCATGCTCAACGTACTTTGATGTGCTTCTATGTCAAGTATTCCCAACTACTCTTAATGGTTAAGCTCACACTTAGTACTACTCTCTTCCAAGGACACTTTTAACACCTTTAACGAGCTTGCTAGACTATTCGTGGAGCAGTTCATTACAGACCAACGGAGGATTCATCCCATACCTTGGGAATTTGCCAGAGTGAAAGAAAGTCACACAAGGACTATTTCAGCAAGTTCTCTGCTGAAGCTCGTTAGATTCCGAGAGTGGCTCCAGAGTTGCTGGGAGGAGTCTTCCTTGGGGGGCTTTGCCTAGGACCCTTCTACTCATCACTGATGTGAGAGAGTCTATTCTTATGTTGATCTTGTTCACAATATTGAGCCCTAAATCACTGTAGACTAAGCCTTCAATGCACATAAGGAGCAGTTTGAGGAATTCGGGGGAAAGCGTGAAAGTAACACTGGAGATAATACTCAATCCTCGCAACAGAGAAAGTCCAAACAAAAGATGAAACATGACCTTCCTCCCAAAGCTGCAAGCCAATGAAGTGAGCATCGATTTAAGCAAGAATATAAACCACTCAACAAGTCACATGTTAATGTCCTAGTAACCATCAAAGATAAAGAAACTATTATGTGGCCTCACCTTCTAAAACTTAATTCGGGAAATCAGGAACAATACTGTCATTTCCATTTGAGTCGTGGCCACACCACCGAGGCATTTATGCGGCTCAACGAAGAACTTGAAAGGTTAATTTAGCAGATATTGCTTGGTCGATTTGTGCGAAACAAACCAGTCGGTAGAGATAACACTCACATGGGGAGGGGGCAACAGACACAAAAGCAACAACATAAGAATCAAAAAGTGGTGGGCGAACTTCAGATGATCGTTGGAGACCTGTTGCTGACCGATCAAGTCCTTATCACTGCACCTAGAGAACCAACAAAGAAGAAACTGTGCTTCGAGATTATCACTTTCAATGATTCTGATCTGGAAGGAGTCAAGTCCTCCACCAAGATCCTCTTGTTATTACCACATGAATTGGTGATCCCTACTAAAACGTGAAGAGGATCCTTATCGATAATGACAACTCTGTCGAGGTCTTATTCTACTCCATTTTTCTTAGCTTGAGACTGAAAAGGGAAAAAACTTCAACATGTTTCCATCGTACGGTCTTGACAATCGACCATAAAGTGTTGATAGAACGATAAATCTCCCCGTTGTTATAAAAGATTTTTCTCAGCAGACGACCCACTCAATTCAACTCATCATATTCAAGTCAGAATTATCATACAACGCCATCTTTGAGAGACTCCTGCACCCTATCTCAACAGATAACTCACTCAATTCAGTTTATCATTGTAACTTCTGTGTCACACCTAAAACTCAAGTTCCCAATTCCAATAGAGATCGGCGTCGCACGAGAAAATCAACATATAGCACAATCATGTTATCTCAGGCAAGCCAGTCATGCCCATCAGTGATACTTAGCATCGAAAACTTTGATCTTCGAGATGGAGATGTATCTCAACGGGCTTCTCCCATGGAAAAATTAGTCCACGTCCCACTCTCCGATGAACACCCCTCACGAACGGTGCAGCTCAGTTCCCAACTCTCTGATGAGCGGAGCCTATGCTCACTCGTGTTTGGCTCGGTTACACCCCTAATCTTTATACCAAAATCAATAATTCTAATAACCATACATATTGTACGCATTATATACGTGGTATTGATTATATTCGTTATATTTTATGTGTCTGAATGCATCAGAACTTCACGCACGTAATATTCTCTTCTGCACTAAACTTCATGGATAAACTATTGTCAGGCGAATTTAAATACATTGCACCAAACTTTGATTGGTTGCATCTTCCCGACCATTCAATAATGCCTTCAGTTTATTGAAAGGTACATACATTGAACCATATTTTCATCTGGTTACCGAGGACTGTTATTTGTAATTTTTAAAATTTTATGAAGAAAATGATAGTTATTGTCCAGACGTGCTTCATTACCATTTTTCATGGCTTGTCATGCCCATACTCTACCTTTGTTAAAGAGTGATAATGTAAAAATAGCCCCAATTATATATATTAAGTTGCCGTTTTAGGCTCAGAGTTTATAGAAATATCAAAATAATTATTAAAATCTTTAAATTGGGGTTGAAATAGTCCCCCACAGAAGACTGCAAAAATATGGAGAGCTCTACATCTTTATTTGACGTCCAATGTCAATTACCTCTAATTAAAACTATCATTAAAAATCATCATCCAACCATGTCATCTGATCACAATCACTTAATTGCTTTCATCCACTAACCTTAGCTCGATTATTTGACGTCCAATGTCAATTACCTCTAATTAAAACCATCACCAAAAATCATCATCCAATCATTGTCATCTGACACAATCGCTTAATTGCTTTCATCCACTAACCTTAGCTCGATCGCCATCATTAATTGTCACTGCCCAACAATAGCTCAACTCTCATTGTCTTTCGATTACGATTGTTGAACCATAATCCTTCAACCATTCCATTGTTGTCCGTCTACCATCACGAAGTTGTTATTGTTCGATCATTATTGCATGATTATCATCGTCTGTCCACTAACAATTATTTTCACAAAAAAAAAAAAAAAAAAAAAAAAAAAAAAAAAAGTGATCACAAATACTATACACCAAACAAAAAAAAATTAAATTTGTATGAAGGATTAATTAATAAATTGAGTAACTTAAAAAACAACAAATAAAAAAAATTATCAATTGGCTAATATGCAAGAATGTGTCAACCTAATACAGTATTAGTAACACTACATACTTAAACTTGCCTTGAATAGAGAATAAATACATCTTCACTCATTTAGAGCATGATCTGAGATAAGGCTGTCAAAAAAACTCGTTGCTCGCAAACAGTTCGGGTTCGGTTCGTCAATGAGTTCGTGTTCGATTCGTTCGATAAGTAAACGAGACGAACGTGAACAAATTTTTTTTTTTTCGGTTAGTTAAACGAATCAACCACGAATAGTGATGCGTTCGTTCGTATTCGAATCGTTATTGTTCGGAATATAAAATAATTTAAAATAATTATATATAAAAAGTTATGATATTTAAAAAAATTAAATTTTATAGATTATAATATATAATAAATTAATAATAATAGTATATTAATATACTATATTAGTAATATACTAATATAGATATTATATATTTATATAATATAAGTTATATAATTAATATAATATATTATTTACATATATTAATATTAGGGATGTCAAACTGGCTCGTCGTTTGCGAACAACTTGTGTTCGGCTCGTGTTTGGTCGTTTGTTAAGAAATGAACAGTTAACGAGACGAACACAAACTAAGATGTGTTCGTTTGTGTTCGGCTTAAATTTCAAATGAACCGAACACGAACGAACAAACCGAACACGAACTCAAGCTCTGTTTGTTCGTGTTCAGTTAGTTTACACCCCTAATCTGAGATTTAGCAGTTTATGCACCTATGCTATTAATAATCAAGCGAGATGAAAAATATATCATAGCCAAGATAGAATTAAAACCAAAATACTTCATTCTAATTTTCATTTTCATTCATGAGGAAGCTACTTATAGAGGTTTGTTCCTCAATGGAATCATCCCAACCAAAATTTTTAATTTTTTTTTTTTTTTTTTTGGCCAAATCCCATCTTTTTTCACTTTCTAGAATTTTCATGCAGTTTTTAAAGCATATATCTATAATAATTTAGTTGTGTGCATACAAGTTCTCTCAACATTATTTTAAGAGGCACCGATGATTAAAAATTTCAGCAAAATTGTTTCATTGCGAAACAAAATAGTATGAATAATAATAAACAAGATCAAAAACTTAAAGAGAAGAGATCCCAAAGACCTCACCAAACATCTAATATAGCATCAAGGAGTAAACTTTAGACTTTCTTAAACTCTAATATATGAATATTGCTAATCACTCCCTATGCTTTAACTTTTCATGTCTTAAAATTTTTCTTTTTCAAATTTTTTGTTTCTTTCTCAATATTAAGTTGTAGGGTTTAGTCCATATTCTATAAAGAAAATGAGTTATGCACACTTAAGTATTGTTTGGGGTGGCGGTGCGGCACTGCACTGCTTTTTTGTCTGTTTGGCTAAACTGCAATATTTTCAAAAAAATTGTCACTGAAATATGTGTTTTCTCACCGGTCCTGGCTAGGTGCGATAATAAGCACCGCAGTTTACTGTACATCTGATTTTTCTTCAGCAGCTTCACAGTAGTTGTCCAAAAAAATCCAAACATACCCTAATTGTTAGATGATCTTTTTGGTAAGATCTCTATAGGGTTTTAAAAGAAGGGGAGCCCCAAAAAGTTTTTAAATATCTACAATTATATCATCGTAAAATCTATAACAGTTACGTATAAATTTATCTAATTATAATTAATTGTTAGTTATTAATCAATTAATTAACTTAAATAAAATTAAATTAAAGCCACTAAGACCATCTCTTCCCTCCCTCT